TCACCAATGAATCGATGTGAAAGATTTTCACATCATTTTTTCGATTAATGTAGCGATTCTTTTTATTAAAACATACGCCGGTTAATATAGCAATTCTTTTTATTAAAGCATACGTTGTAATTTTTATTAATGATAAGTCTGTTTTTTTCACACATAACATTGTATTTTTTTTTGTGTGCAACACATATAACATTGTATATGTCCAAAAAATTGCTCCAAATGCTTAATCATCTAACCTAGATAATCATTTACTACAACAACAATTTTTTTTCTAATATTAAATACACAAATAATTAATAAACTAGAATTATTGTATATTTTATCATCTTAATTTTCAAAACCACGCAACATGTGGACAATAAATGTATAAAGCCATCCATGCATTGAATAAAACCATAGACAATAAGATGTCTAATTAATTAATTACCTTTTTTTGGTCAAAGTCTAATTTATTACAAAAGCAACATTTCTCTTATATATATATCAATGTGCTACAAGGATGGTCAATATCAAATACAACATTGTCTTCACTCTTGATTCCTTAATTTACTTTGTCTTTCGAAACAAAACTGTCCGTAAGAATGAAGAAAGTCATGAACATCCTCACTTTATTTTGTCTTCTACTTCTCTTGTCTCGTAAGCATTTCTTGCTCTTCTATTTCTAAATGACTCTTCAAAATTCTTATTTTTGGTACAATATGTTCACATAAAGCTTTTGAATTCTAAAACTATTATGTATTATATTTATGATCACAATCTAATCTATATTTTGAACGTTGTAGATATAAATGTTTTAAATACTGGAGTTGTGGAGGCTCGAAGTTTGTTCAAGCAGGAGATTAATGTTCCAGTGATGCACCAAGAAACTTCTTCGTCCGCTGTGCATCCCCAAATGTCGTCTGATTGCAAAAGACCTTGTTATGTGGAATGTCAATATATAGGTGTTCTGGTTTGTAGATGCAAATGTCGTCATGTTTAAATCTCTGGAGAGATATAAACTTAAAATAATACTTGAAACTGCAAACAATTCATCGATCTCATCAACTCAAGAAGATCGCAATTAGAGATCTATGGCATCGTGCAGGATATTCACAATCTCTCCCTCGATCTAAAAATCTCCTCTTTCAATTTTATCCTAAGGGATTTTAACATTAAAGCCGATAGATTGGCCAGATTTGCGATCTACACTGAACCGGATCGGTCCGGTTTAGCACCAATTTTGGTTTGAATAATGAAATCAATTTTTAGACTAAAATAAATAACAATACTCGAAATTTGGAAATAAATTAGTTTGAAAAAGAAAAAAACTTGTAAATCAATCGTATAATAAGACATTATACGATACAACATGGTTTCAATCTCGTAACAACATAAATCATGACAATTATTAATGCTTGTTTAAGCGAAAAAAACTCCACTGTTCGGTACAAACGTTTGTAGGTAGTAAGTAGTACATCAATATTTTTGTAGGTAGTAAGTACTACATCAATATTTGTAGGTATTACTTACGTTTGTAGGTAGTAAGTCCTACATCAATATTTTTCTAAAGAAAGTTTGTCATTTGTTATAATCAAAATTAAAGATATTTGAAAATTAAAGCAATAGAAATGACGGAAGTTACACAATTCATAACATGCAAAAAGACAACCAAATTCAATATTGGTAATATAAAATATGTTATAAAGCTCCTTTTTAAAATTTAGCACCAAATATTAAGACTTTTTGAAGTGTCCGACTAATTTTGGGGTGAAGAAATCTTTAACAAAGATTTTCTACAAACCCTTGAACAAAGCAATCAATGTTATAGATATATAATAAATACAAAACTAAAAAATGTAGATATGCAATATAATTGAGGGAAGTTATACAATCAATAATAAATGCAAAAGGACAACCAAATTTAGTTATAGTATGAAGTAAAAGTAAAGAGAAATATATATGTCTTTGCTACCAAAGACATGTGTAGTAAAGAGTAGAAAAAGAAAAAGAAAAAAAGAGCTAAAGACATGTGTAACAAAAGAGGTCAGTTTTGCAAAATATATATTATTGTTATCTAAGTTGTTTGTACATCACAATTTAGCCATCTCCTAAATCATCAGGTCGGTTTTCTCTCCTTACCTGTTCGTATTGTTAGAAATGCATCTTAATTAGTTTCATCTTCTTTCATTTTTATTTAAGGAAGCTCTAGTCTTTTGGATCGGACACTTACAGATGTGAATGTCACTTCCCTTATAATATTTAGAGGCATACAAAG